GACATGGAGGAGGCCACAGGAAGTGGACGGCACCTCACTGGACTCCTGGACGGCAGCCATTGGCCCATCACCCTGGGCCTCTGCTGCCGGCTGGCCTCACACAGGACGTTCACATTCCAAACTGGCCGCCGGGTTGTTTTCTTAAGAAAGCAATAACCGTGCACATTCACTGTGGTTCTTTATGGTTTTCCATATGTATAATCGCTCTTTCTCCCTCCAGTTTTCCCAATGTTTTTTTTTTCTTTTAAATAAATGCTCATAAATTTTACTGGTGAGAGGGATGAAAAAACATACAAAAAAGAGCAGTTTGTTGCAAAAGGAAAACACACACTCAGGCAAACACGCACGCACATACACTAAGCAGAATCTAGAAAAACTGAGCTCCTGTTGAGCATTATATACTTAATAGAGAAAAGTTCAGGTTTTATGAAAAAGATGCCCCAGTAACTTCGCTGACACTTGCCTAAGTCTCCAGCTTTTGTTCAATATACTTAACTCCTGTCATCATCTCCCTGAGCTTGCTGAAACCTGGTGGTGGCCCCTCTGTCTTGGGATCCAGTGAGCTGGGGCTAAAGCAACCCTGGCTTTAGTCGTCTTCAGTCATTAGGGGTCACGTGGGTCTCGTGCAAGTCTCATGATACAGAAGCCCCAGACTTAGAACTGCAGAATGAGGGTTTGGATTAGAACATCTGGAAAGTTCTATGGCTTTATGATGAACTAGAGTAAGAAACTAGTTCTGAGGTCCCTTCAGATCCTCCCTGCCCCTCAGAGAAGCCGGAGTTGACTTTGTTTCACCTTCCCAACATTCATTTTTCCCTCCCTTCTTAGGAGAACTCCTCTTTTATTTGGAGCAACAATGTGTGGAGCTGTACAGCAATTTCCCAGGCTCCCTTGCACCTGGAATGTGGCCACATGACACAGTTCCAACCAATAAGATATGCTTGTTTGCAATCCTGGAGATCGAATCCAGGGCCTTGAGCATGCCAGGAAAGCACTGTTCCACGGAGACATATCCCAGCCCTTCCAAACGAAAAGATACAAATTTAAGTCCATGAACCATCCAACTCAGCAGGCTCATTTTTACTCCTTATCTAGTAGTGTAGCCATCTTGCAAATAGAGCTCAAAATACAGTCGTGTGCTCCATAAAAACATTTCAGTCAACCACCAATGTTGGTGGTTCTATAAGATTATAATGGTAATAACAGTACTGAAAATTTCCTATTGCCTAGTGGCATTGTAGCCACCATAAAGTCAGTGTAGAACAACACGTTACTTGCGTGTGTGGTGAAGCTGGTGCAGACAAATCCACTGTGCTGCCAGTCATATAAAGGTATAGGGCATACAAGCCCAGTGCTGGAGGCTCACACCTATAATCTTAGCTACTCAGGAAGCAGCAATCAGGAGAATCACTGTTTCAAAAGCTCAAATGGTAAGAATCCCTACCTAGCAAGCATGAAACCCTGAGTTCAAACCCTAGTGCTGCCCCCCAAAAAAGGATAGTGTATACAATTATATACACTGCCTAATACTTATGATAGTAGACAGCTGTGTTACTGGTTTCTGTATTTGTTATACTGTATGTCTCATTGCTATTTTAGAATGTACTTGTTCCTATAAAAAAAATTGACTGTAAAAGTTTTAACATGTCACACAGGCAGTAGCCTGTTTACTCTCTTGATTGCATTGATTTTTCTTGTGCTTGATTTAATCTTGTGTTGTCTTGTTCATCGTGGCCTTAGAAACACTAGGAGCCACTGGGTGTGTGCGTACAAATATGCATGTGTGTGCGTGCGTGTATATACACATGTACACGTACCATAGAGCCTAGTTGTGTAGTGGGCTACACTATAGATTTGTGTAAAACAAACCTGAAAGGCCCACCTCAGATGATTCCTTGTTACATGGTAAAAATAAAACCCTGTCTGGCTAAGCCACAGAAGGTACATTTCTGTCACACGCAGCAAATTAATGTGAGGCTGAAGTCGGTCCTTCCACAAATATTGAGCATCTTCCACGTGCCTGGTGCTGTCAGAGCTGAGAATGAGCAAACCAGCCATGGCGCTGCCCTCATAGGACTCACAGACCAGCTGGGAGACAAACAGTGAGTAAACAAAGATGACAAAGAATTACTAATTATCATTACTCTGAACGAAACAAATGAGACTTTGGAAAGGAGAATGGTAGAAGAAGCTCTGCACCCAGTGGGTGGTAGAGCTAGGACTGGTGAGGAAATATTGAAGAGAAGATCAGAAGAAAGAACATTCTCTGGAATGTTCTCGGCAGCACATGCCGAGTCCTCTAGCTGGGAGGAAGCTGGCGAAGTCGGTGAGTTTGGAGATGAGGGCTGAGTAGCATAAAAACAAGGTGGGAGAGGCAGGAGGTCATACAGTGCCTTGGGTGAGGTTTTAAGTCACTGGAGGATCTTTAGGAGAATGTCTTGTTAAAAAGTTGCTTGTTAAAGCAACTGAGGCCAATAGGAAAAGGGGACCAGGAACTAGAGAAAAGGTTAGATCAAAAAGAATTAACCTAGAAGGTAACACCCACGCACAGGAAATCAATGTGAGTCAATGCCCTGTATAGCTATCCTTATCTCAACCAGCAAAACCCCTTGTTCCTTCCTATTATTGCTTATACTCTCTCCACAAGAAAATTAGACATAAGGGCAAAATAGTTTCTGCTGGGTATTGCGCGGGGGGGGGGGGGGGGGCAGAGTGGGTGGTAAGGGGGGGGACAGGGGGGAGAAATGAACCAAGCCTTGTATGCACATATGAATAATAAAAGAAAAATGAAAATAAATAAATAAATAAATAAATAAGGTACAGAACCATCAAAAAAAACAAAAGACCTCCATCTGGAAAACAGTTTCAGTCCCAACTTTTGTGGGTCTCCTGTCTGCTCAGAGATTTTGCCAACCTGCTTGTGAAAACAGGCTCCTGGGTCCTGGTCCTGAAGGCCAGTCCTAGCCCTGTGACACAGAAGCATGTGTCCTTTAGCTACCAATCTCTCTGACCTGAGCCTCTTCATCAGAAATAAAGACAGTAATAGTCCCACCTTAGAAAGCTGAGAGTGGGTGATGTGTGAGTCCCATAATGCACTGGGAACCCTGCTTGGCACATACAAGTGCTAGGAGAGAGTTTGTCATGTCCACTGTTACCAGGAAGCCCATTAGAGCCTCTGTACTTCTGCCTCCCGACCAGTGCTTCTCCAGCTTGGCATGAGAGTCAACTGTCCCACTCCCAAGATTCTGGTTCTTTCTGGGAATGGAACCCAAAGGCCTACATTGTAAACAAATCTTCCATGGACTCTGCTGCAGGTGGCTTACGGGCCACATTTGGACAAATAGTGACATAGTGGTTTTGGAGTTAAACAAGGCTGAGTTCAAATCTCCCTCAACTTTCCATCTGTGTGGCCTTGTATGGCATTTCAAACTTCTCCAAAACTTGCTTTCCTTATCTGAAAAAATGAGCTTATTAATACTAGTAACATCCCCCAGCAGATAAAATAAAAATTGTGAAGAAAGCATACAAGTTATAATCACAGATTCCAGTGTGTAAAGGTATCAGCCATCCTATTTATCTATTTTTTATATTTATATTAACTTAACCCATGACCTCCTATTTCCACTAACAAAAGAAAACTTCAGTTTGGAAAATCCAGCTCACTGAAACCACTTCCAGCTTAAAACAGAACAAAACCCCTTAGTCTCTTGGGGGGACTTGTAACCAGAATCAGGGTGTTCCCCTCTGGTGCTGCTGGTTCAACCCCTCAGACGATTCAAGCTCTTGATTCCTCAGGGCTGGCACATGACACAGCTGGTCCTGGACACTCACTCACATGCCCAGCCAATGCCCACTGTGCCACCATGGCTGTTGGCTGTATGTCCTTTGGCCTTGGCCTCTTGCCTCTACCCTAGACCTTCTTGTCTGCCACCCGCCCCCCTTTTTTTTGCTCAGAGTTCTCAATAGCTGCACCACTGTAGTGTACCTTGAACATGTGGCTGTCCAGTCCCCTTCCTCAGCCATTTACTAATTTGCCACTTAGGTGCCATGGTGGATATGGGCCTTGTCTGGGATTTGAGATCTCTGATAACCTCCTTCTACCAAATGCTTCTCTTTTTGCAGACTGTATGGAAGGAGGGGACTCTTACAACCTCCGTGTGTTCTCTTGTCTATGTGTCCTCTGGAGACTGGCTCCTGGACACACACACACACACACACACACACACACACACACAAATCACAGCACACCACACACACACACACTGGTTCTTGCAAATAGAAGTCATAACCTCAGACTAGTGGTTCTGTCTCAGACTTACACAACTGATTCAGCTCTCAATTGGTTTCTTGCTTCTAGGGGTGTCTGCCTCCCCTGAGATCAGAGCAGCAGACACGCAGACACACTACCCCTGCTCTCCAATGACAGGAGAAGGTGAAAGGCAGAAGAAAGGCTGGGGATGGGAGGAAGCCCCTCATTAGAATCTCAAAATGGCACCCCTTTAATTCTCTTGCAGAAAGCACCTACTTAGCACATGGCCTGGTCTGGAGTACCTGCTTGATGGCCACGATCCCATGACTTATTCACATTCACTCATGAAGCCAGAGGGATCCTGAGTGGACACCTCTGAAATGTGTCCCAACCTGGGAAATGAAGCAGGTAGAGGGGAAGGCCCCTGACTAAACACACCCACCTCTCCTGAAAGGAGCTAGAAATGCACCATTGGAGATCCTGTCCTTTAGATCAAACATTGTCCCGTCCCAGGTCACGTTAAAAGGTCAGTACTGCTGGGACCAGGGATGATCTCCCTATTCTAGCCCTGGGGACACTACAAGAGAAGGAATGGCACAGCCTGCAGGCCCCTCCTTTTCTTGGAGGCAGCAGGGGAAGTGAAACAGGGTCCCCACGCATATCAAGCTGCCCCTGGGGTCACTGAGCAGCCTTTGTCCCCTCTTCAACCCTGAGCCCCAAGGGGTAGCAGCCAACACCAGAGACAGCAAAACCTGTTCAAACTTACATCTATTTCCTAGGGGTCCAGCAAAGGGTGCGGGGAAGGGATGAATAACTTGGGTTTCAGTAGAAGTCCCAAATCTTGGGGAGTGAGGTAAGCCCCACCTGCCATGGCCTCAGAAGCCTGGCTAGTAGGGGTGATTCAGGGCATGCTCCATGATGGTCCGTATGGCCATCCATGTCTCCTGGGCCGTGGGGATGATCTGCGAGGCTGGCAGCAGGAAGCCATAGTGTCCAGTGTCTCGGAGCTCGAAGCTGAAGGCATACTTGATGCCAGTGTCATAGGCCCAGTCCACGGTGATCCCACTGGCCACATCTAAAAACAAAAGAGCCCCAAAGAGAAGGAGAGGGTGAGGTCACAGGGTTCAAAGCATCCTTAGTGGAAAGTGGGTCCTGGAGCCAACCCCCACCCCCGACCTAGCCCCGACATCTCTAAACCATCAGGCCCAAGTCTCACCCTAGGCAATGCCCTTTCCTTTCTGCCCCCATCTTCTCCCTGCAGAAAGCTCCTTGGAGGCCACCAGACTGAGAGTCTTTCCCTCCAGGGGTTATTGCGGCAAGCTGGGCTGTGCTCTGATACCACAAAGAAACAGCTGGCTGGGTTCCACTGTCCACCCTCCTAGCCGGATGTGGGGACAGCTTTGGCCCAGCCCACTTGGGCCTGTGGTACTGCCCTGTGGCCAGCCAGGCCTACCAGGCCACTCACACATCATCTGCCTGACCCCAGGGGGATGTGTTTCACTCACAGAGAGTGGTGCTTATGCTGCCAAAAATGTACTTGATCCCGTGCACCTCATACAGGGCCTTCACTGCATCCTTGGCAAGGTCGTACTGCAAATGACAGCCAGAAAGTAAGAGACTGGGATGCAAAGGAACTGCCACACATCCCTCACCCTCAACAGCTGATGAGAAAAATGGATGGAGCCAACCCAGAAGTCAACTATGGAGACAGCTCTTGTGAGAAGCTTTGAACTTGAGCTCCCCAATCCTCCTTACCATGGGGTCTATTGGTCCAGATCCTCTTTTTCAGAGTGAGGGCCTGAACTCTCTTGGACTGGGCCAGATATGGTTTTTTCTGGGGATAGCATCCTCCTTACCCAACCTCTTAGCAGCCAAGCTTACCAGCTCTTCATAGTTTGAAACAGGATCCAGAGAGTGGCCATAAGGGTACATGAGCATCTGAGAGTAGCTGTGGATGGAGATCAGAACCTTGAAGTTCCCATGGTGTGTGATGAATTTCACAATGGCAGCCACCTCTGGCTCAGACTGAGGCCAGGGCCCATGGTAAGTCTCTGAGCAGGGGTTTTTATTTGAACCATTTCCTGGAAATAAAATAAAACAACCGGAAGGGTCACCATTTCCAGGTGTGGCTGAGACAGTGCTCACAAAATAATACCATGTGTTTCCTTTTATCTCCCAGCCTCCTTTACAGTTTGGTTGGGGTCATGTGACTGTTTTTTGGCCAATGAACATTGAGCAGAAATGATGTGTCACTTCTGGTTTGAAGCTGTTAAAAGCAAAGATGACTTCTCTATACTCTCTTCTGTCTGTGTGGCTAGAAGCAAAACATTCTAGACCCAATGAAGCCCACAAGAATAATTTAAAAGAAGACACACTACAAGTACTCAATGAGAATTTTATAGAGATGATACTGGATAGGGTCAACCAAAATGTACAGGAGACATTCAAGAAATTTCAAGACAATAAAAATAAAGAATTTGGAAAAGCAAAAGAAGAAATAAAGGAAACCATAGAAGCACTGTATAAACACCAAAGTGAAAGAGAGAACACAATGAATAAATGGATAAATGAACTCAGGACAAAAATAGACAACATTAAAGAGGAAAACTGCCAGGATATGGAAAACCTCAGAAAAAAAAACGAAATAGAACTGCAAAACAAAACGGAAGGCCAATCCAGCAGAATAGAACAAACAGAAAACAGAATCTCAGAACTTGAAGATGAAATGGTAATTAAAGGAAAAACCAAAGAACTATTAATTAAACAACTCAAGACCTGTGAAAAGAAAATGCAAGAACTCACTAACTCCATCAAAAGACCAAACTTGAGAATCATGGGCATCGAAGAAGGAGAAGAGGTGCAAGCGAAGGGAATGCGTAATATATTCAACAAAATAATAACAGAAAATTTCCCAAATCTAGAGAAAGATATTCCCATACAGATGCAAGAGGCCTCCAGGACACCAAACAGACCAGATCAAAATAGAACTACCCCATGACATATCATCATTAAAACAACAAGTTCAGAAACTAAGGAAAGAATATTGAAGGCTGTAAGAGAGAAAAAACAAGTAACATACAAAGGTAAACCCATCAAAATCACAGCAGACTTCTCAACAGAAACATTAAAAGCAAGAAGAGCGTGGGGTGAGATCTTCCGGGCACTGAATGAAAATAACTTCAACCCCAGGATACTCTACCCAGCAAACTATCATTCAAAATAGATGGAGCAATAAAAGTCTTCCATGATAAGCAGAAACTAAAACAATATGTGACCACAAAGCCACCATTACAAAAGATTCTGCAAGGGATTCTGCACACAGAAAGTGAAACCCAACTTAACCATGAAAAGACAGGCAGCACCAAACCACAGGAAAAGAAAAAGCAAGACAGTAGAGAGTAACCTCAACTTAGGTACACACAATCAAACCTTCAAACAACTAAGACAACTAAATGACAGGAATCACCACATACCTATCAGTACTAACGCTTAATGTTAACGGACTTAATTCACCCATCAAAAGACACCGTTTGACAAAATGGATTAAAAAGAAGATCCAACAATTTGTTGCTTACAGGAGACCATCTCACCGACAGAAATAAGCATAGGCTTAGGATGAAAGGCTGGAAGAAGATTTACCAAGCCAATGGCCCCCGAAAACAGGCAGGAGTAGCAATACTTATCTCTGACAAAGTAGACTTCAAACCTACATTGATCAAACGAGATAAAGAAGGACATTCCATACTAATAAAAGGGGAAATAGACCAAAAGGAAATAATAATCATCAATCTGTATGCACCCAATGTCAATGCACCCAATTTCATCAAACATACCCTGAAAGACCTAAAAGCATATATAAACGCCAACACAGTGGTTGTGGGAGACTTTAACACCCATTATCATCAATAGATAGGTCATCCAAACAAAAAATCAATAAAGAAATCCAAGATCTAAAATATGCAATAGATCAAATGGACCTAGTGATGTCTACAGAACATTTCATCCAACTTCTACACAATATACATTCTTCTCAGCAGCCCATGGAACCTTCTCCAAAATAGATCATATCCTAGGGCACAAAGCAAGCCTCAGCAAATATAAGAAAATAGAAATATACCGTGCATACTATCTGATCACAATGCAGTAAAAGTAGAACTCAACAACAAAAGTAAAGACAAAAAACATGCAAACAGCTGGAAACTAAATAACTCATTACTTAATGAAGAATGGATCATCGATGAAATAAAAGAGGAAATTAAAAAGTTCCTGGAAGTCAATGAAAATGAAAACACAACCTACCAGAACCTATGGGACACAGCTAAGGCAGTCCTGAGAGGAAAGTTTATAGCCATGAGTGCATATATTAAAAAGACTGAAAGATCCCAAATCAATGACCTAATGATACATCTCAAACTCCTAGAAAAACAAGAACAAGCAAATCCCAAAACAAATAGAAGGAGAGAAATAATAAAAATAAGAGCTGAAATCAACGAAATAGAAACCAAAAAAACCATACAAAGAATTAATGAAACAAAAAGTTGGTTCTTTGAAAAAATAAACAAGATCGATAGACCCCTGGCAAACCTGACTAAAATGAGGAGAGAAAAAACCCAAATTAGTAGAATCAGGAATGCAAAAGGGGAGATAACAACAAACACCATGGAAGTCCAGGAAATCATCAGAGACTACTTTGAGAACCTATATTCAAATAAATTTGAAAATCTAAAGAAATGGACAGATTTCTAGATACATATGATCATCCAAAACTGAACCAAGAGGAAATTAATCACCTGAATAGATCTATAACACAAAATGAAATTGAAGCAGCAATCAAGAGTCTCCCCAAAAAGAAAAGTCCAGGACCTGATGGATTCTCTGCTGAATTCTATCAGACCTTTAAAGAAGAACTGATACCAACCCTCCTTAAACTGTTCACAAAATAGAAAGGGAAGGAAAACTGCCAAACACATTTTATGAAGCCAGTATTACACTTATCCCAAAACCAGGCAAAGACACCTCCAAAAAGGAGAACTATAGGCCAATCTCCTTAATGAACATTGATGCAAAAATCCTCAACAAAATAATGGCAAACCGAATTCAACAACACATCAAAAAGATTATTCACCACGACCAAGTAGGCTTCATCCCAGGGATGCAGGGGTGGTTCAACATACAAAATCAATAAACGTAATAAACCACATTAACAGAAGCAAAGACAAAAACCACTTGATCATCTCAATAGATGCAGAAAAAGCCTTTGATAAGATCCAACATCATTTCATGATAAAAGCTCTAAGAAAACTAGGAATAGAAGGAAAGTTCCTCAACATTATAAAAGCTATATATGACAAACCTACAGCCAGCATTATACTTAACGGAGAAAAACTGAAACCATTCCCTCTAAAATCAGGAACCAGACAAGGATGCCCACTATCTCCACTCCTATTCAACATAGTACTGGAATTCCTAGCCAGAGCAATTAGGCAAGAAGAAGGAATAAAAGGAATACAAATAGGTAAAGAAACTGTCAAAATATCCCTATTTGCAGACGACATGATCCTATACCTTAAAGACCCAAAAAACTCTACTCAGAAGCTTCTAGACATCATCAATAGCTATAGCAAGGTAGCAGGATATAAAATCAACATAGAAAAATCATTAGCATTTCTAATGAGCAAACTGAAAAAGAATGTATGAAAACAATTCCATTTACAATAGCCTCAAAAAAAATCAAATACCTAGGTGTAAACCTAACAAAAGATGTGAAAGACCTCTACAAGGAAAACTATACACTTCTGAAGAAAGAGATTGAGGAAGACTATAGAAAGTGGAGAGATCTCCCATGCTCATGGATTGGTAGAATCAACATAGTAAAAATGTCGATACTCCCAAAAGTAATCTACATGTTTAATGCAATTCCCATCAAAATTCCAATGACATTCATTAAAGAGATTGAAAAATCTACTGTAAATTTATATGGAAACACAAGAGGCCACGAATAGCCAAGGCAATACTCAGTCAAAAGAACAATGCAGGAGGTATCACAATACCTGACTTCAAACTATATTACAAAGCAATAACAATAAAAACAGCATGGTACTGGCACAAAAACAGACATGAAGACCAGTGGAACAGAATAGAGGACCCAGATATGAAGCCACACAACTATAACCAACTTGTCTTTGACAAAGGAGCTAAAAATATACGATGGAGAAATAGCAGCCTCTTCAACAAAAACTGCTGGGAAAACTGGTTAGCAGTCTGCAAAAAACTGAAACTAGATCCATGTATATCACCCTATACCAAGATTAACTCAAAATGGATCAAGGATCTTAATATCAGACCCCAAACTCTAAAGTTGATACAGGAAAGAGTAGGAAATACTCTGGAGTTAGTAGGTATAGGTAAGAACTTTCTCAATGAAACCCCAGCAGCACAGCAACTAAGAGATAGCATAGATAAATGGGACCTCATAAAACTAAAAAGCTTCTGTTCATCAAAAGAAATGGTCTCTAAACTGAAGAGAACACCCACAGAGTGGGAGAAAATATTTGCCAGCTATACATCAGACAAAGGACTGATAACCAGAATATATAGGGAACTTAAAAAACTAAATTCTCCCAAAACTAATGAACCAATAAAGAAATGGGCAAGTGAACTAAACAGAACTTTCTCAAAAGAAGAAATTCAAATGGCCAAAAACACATGAAAAAATGCTCACCATCTCTAGCAATAAAGGAAATGCAAATTAAAACCACACTAAGATTCCACCTCACCCCTGTTAGAATAGCCATCATCAGCAACACCACCAACAACAGGTGTTGGCGAGGATGCGGGGAAAAAGGAACCCTCTTACACTGTTGGTGGGAATGTAACTAGTACAACCACTCTGGAAAAAAATTTGGAGGCTACTTAAAAAGCTACATCGATCTACCATTTGATCCAGCAATACCACTCTTGGGGATATACCCAAAAGACTGTGACACAGGTTACTCCAGAGGCACCTGCACACCCATGTTTATTGCGGCACTATTCACAATAGCCAAGTTATGGAAACAGCCAAGATGCCCCACCACTGACGAATGGATTAAGAAAATGTGGTATCTATACACAATGGAATTTTATGCAGCCATGAAGAAGAACGAAATGTTATCATTCGCTGGTAAATGGATGGAATTGGAGAACATCATTCTGAGTGAGGTTAGCCTGGCCCAAAAGACCAAAAATCGTATGTTCTCCCTCATATGTGGACATTAGATCAAGGGCAAACACAACAAGGGGATTGGACTATGAGCACATGATAAAAGCGAGAGCACACAAGGGAGGGGTGAGGATAGGTAAGACACCTAAAAAACTAGCTAGCATTTGTTGCCCTTAATGCAGAGAAACTAAAGCAGATACCTTAAAGCAACTGAGGCCAATAGGAAAAGGGGACCAGGAACTAGAGAAAAGGTTAGATAAAAAAGAATTAACCTAGAAGGTAACACCCACGCACAGGAAATCAATGTGAGTCAATGCCCTGTATAGCTATCCTTATCTCAACCAGCAAAAACCCTTGTTCCTTCTATTATTTCTTATACTCTCTCTTCAACAAAATTAGAAATAAGGGCAAAATAATTTCTGCTGGGTATTGAGGGGGTGGGGGGGAGAGGGAGGGGGCGGAGTGGGTGGTAAGGGAGGGGGTGGGGGCAGGGGGGAGAAATGAACCAAGCCTTGTATGCACATATGAATAATAAAAGAAAAAAAAAGAGAGAAGTATCTGGGTCCCTCTGTCACCACTGAAAAGAGCTGCCAATGAGAATCACCTGCCTATACTGGACTTTGTGTGCATGCAGAATAAATGTTTAATGTGTTAAAACACTAAGATCTGGAGGTGTATTTGTTGCTGCTGTATACCCTGGTCTCATACATCAGAGGAGTTGTAGCCACACCATAGCCCAGCGGCTGTCCTTTGGGTAAGTCCTGACTGCATTTGCTTTGGAAAGGCAAACATGTCTCAGAAAGCGTCCAGAGATGACAGGAAGGGATTCCCCTATCAGCGATCTTTTGACTGACCCTTCTTAGGTACACTGCTGGTTGAAACTTAGTGTCTGCTCAAGCTTTGCCCCAGGCATGGCCCAAGGTGCACCATAGTCTTGGAGGGAGGAAGAAAAGAGAAAATGAGAACAGATCCCCTTCATCGCCTGAGGCTGGTCTGGGAAACGCAAATGCAAGAGGCCTTTGAGAATTCTTCTTGGGACCTACTTGGGTTTGAGGGCTGAGAAGAGCTGTGCTTCTAATTTCTAATCTCTGACAAGTTAGATTTGTTCCTAACTCCTTCCTTCCTCTTCCACTCCTGTGTGGTCCTCTCTTGCCAAAGGCCATGTCATGGAGGTCTGAACTGGGCTGGGCAGGATTTGTGGGGTTTGAACACATAGGGAGGACCCTCCCCCCTTCCTCCTCTCCTTTCTTCCTGAAATGGCTGCACTCAAGCCTGAATCAGAGGTCAGGGATCCCCCCACCTTCTGAAGCTTCTTCCTGAGGATGTCAGAGTGCCTCTCTTGCAGGCTGCAGCAAAATGGCCCTCCCTAAGAGCACAGGTAAGGGTGGGAATGGTGGGAGGGATGGTCTAGGGAGCTCACGACACAGTAATTAAGTTAAGGCAGTAATAAAACTAAACAAAATCTTGCTGCCTGAGTCATCAACATAGACAATCGCTATTTCTGGCCACAGGCAGCCCAGAGGCCATTCTATCACCAGGGAGCACATCCCTGGGGTGGGGGACACTGGTTAGAAGGGGACATGCCTGCAGTGATGGATACTCCCCTCCACCCAAGCTGGTATGGGCCCTGCTAACAGTGGCCCTGTTTGTTTGTCTGCCAAGAGCTTCTGCACCTGCTGCACTTCCTGGGCAGAGCCTGGGAGGCTGAAAGCTTTATCTGTGTTTGCAACCCACGCAAGGAAAGCAGTTCCCCTGCCAACGACCAGGTGGCTTTGCCCAAATATGGAGAAATACTTCAGGCCATTAGTTCTGGTTTGAGCTAAGCAGAATAAACTAATCTTCCCCTGACCAAATGGGAATTAGCTGCCTGCCTCTCTGACGTTCACAGTCAAGGTCCCCTGAGCCTGCCTGTTTCACAAGTACCTGCTAATGGATTCATTAGCTATTTATTTTTCCTTCTCCAAAAATGTAATTTGCAGCAAAGGGAAGTCTCTGAAAGGACATGGTAAATTATTAAAAGCAGTAATCTTTAGGTAGTGGGATTATGGGAGCTTTTCTGTCCCTTTGGGTTTTTTTTTTTCCATAGTTTTTTTTTTTAACATTGTACACATACAATTTTTTCTTCCTGTGGAGAAACCCACAAAAGTTATTTTCTTCAAGAGGTCATTTGTCTTTCTGCTGGCTGGGCTGTGTCATTATCAGTAGCACCAACTGCAATTAGTTCTGAGAGGCCATATGGATGTCTACCCTGGGCAAGCCTGGTCATCTAGGAGGTGGGAACGCCTAATTTCATAGTCATGTTCCTGCACAGTGGTGTTACACGCACACTGGGGTCTTGCTCCCAGGGCTTGAGAACAATCATTATTTTTCAATGTGAACAAACACCAAGAAGCCAGATTTTCAGAGCCATAAACATCTAGATCTAGAATGTTCTGTCATTGCTCTGGCCACCAGCCTATGGTTCTACTTGTCAACAGTGGCACTGTACCGTGGAGTGTAGTACCACATCTGGGGACTGAGGGCTGTGTGAGCTCCGGGAACTCCATCCTAGCCTACGCCCAGCATCCTACCCAGAAAATGCTGCCTGCTTGACGTCCATGGGCAATCTCTGGACTTTCTGGAGGATTCAGTTTCTCTATCTAGTCCCTCGGCCCCTAGCACATGAGGGAGAGAGAGACAATCATGGAGAAACACCAAGGAACTCAACAGAACTTCAAGAATGCGCAAGCTCTCCAAACTGCCACTAAGTTATGGGACAAAAATAAAAGCCAGGCTCCAGTCAGCTCTGATGATAAGGACTTGGCTAATTCTATATTTGAACTATTGTTCTGACCTCCCCAAATTTCCGGTCACAGCTCTCAGGAAGCAAGTTCAAGGCATTTCCTTGTGTTGTGCTCCTTTTAGGAAAGGGCTGGGGACACTCTGGGGGCACTATAAGCTCTGGACAACCGCCAAGATTAGTTTGTACCTCCTTGGGTCTTTCTCTTCCATTGCAGTTCATCCTCATTTCAGGAACAAAAGATGACTTGGCCTATGTATACATTTGGCACACATGCAACCTCTCCGCACATCCCATGGCCAGTCTTAGTTAGGTACGTGCTTGCCTGGCCCTGGTAGTGACTCACACATATTAGCAAATGATGTCCCTGCCTCCCAAATTATGAGTCAACACAATCTGACAGTGTGAGAGAGCCTACCAGGGACTAACAACCCCTTCTCCAGCAGCCCTGTCATCCAGGCCAACAGACTGTCATACCTCCAAAGCCTGACTTCCAGTTCCTGTTCAGATCCACGCCAATGCAGAAGATGCCGGGTCTGCTTGACTTGTTCTTCCGCCATAAGCGGTTCTGAGAAAGCCCAGGTCAGGCGACCTTATTCATTGGGCCAGGGATGGGAGTGCTGACATGAAGGAGGGTCTGGTAGGATAGGGAGGAGCAAGGGAAAGGAACCTCTAGGACAGGGTGGGTTGGCATGGGGCTGAACCAAGGCTGCATATCAGATACACTGTGAAGTCGGGCTTTGGGGAGAGGCCTGAGCACAGGCTGCCAGTGGTGGCCATCCCTGGGCAGGTGCAGGAGGTTGGAGGGCAGGAGGCCTCAGTCACAAAATCTGAGCAGCGCAGCCCTCCAGCCCTCAGCCAGGCTCTTTGCAGGAAGTCCCTGAAGGGGCTGGCTCCAGAGGCCACAGTGACCTTTCCCTGGCCCTCCCCAGAGCTGACCCCTTCCCCACGCTCCATGGGTGCCCTCACCATGCTGTGGGTAAAAGCAAACCCATCAGGATTAGTGACAATCTCTATGAAGATGTCCATGGCTTTCAATATATCTGTCAGGATGAGGTCTTTGCCGTGTACACTGACAATCTGAAAGAAAGGGTAATGGATGGGAGACCCAGCTAGGCTATCCTCAGAGGTAGAGCAGGACATTTGCACAGGATGAGGTGGTATTAGCCATCAGGTACATTCCCATTCAGAACCAAAGGCTTGGATTCGAAATAGCTGGAAGGCAGAGGACAGATGTGGCCTCTGTGCTACAAAAGGCCAGAGCACGTGGTAGCTGTTAGAGGGGAGAAAGAGATAAAGTCCTCTGAATTTAAAGGAACTGAGTCTAATTTTTCAATTGGAAGCTGAGCAGTTGCTCCCCCAGTCCCAGCCCCGTCATGGCTGCCCCTGTGCAGGTCCCTCAGCACAGGTCCTTGCTCACCTTCTTGGCAATCCAGATGCCTGTGGCATGGGTGATCCACTCCCGAGAGTGAATGCCAGTGTCAATCCAAACAGCTGGGCGCTGAAAGCCTCCAGTACTGAACTGGGGGAAAGAACAAGATCCCAAGCAGAGGTGTGACCAGAGACAGCTATGGTATTATCCCTGGGCTACCTGAAAGGAGGCCCCAAATGTTTCCTCACTGCCTAGGATGGATCCATGAGCCATACGCACTTAGCCCCAGAGAGGGGGTACATGTAGGTACCTGTGTATGTCTCCAGAAGTGCATATACCCATGATGTACACATGTGTGAGGACCTTTGGCTTGTGGTGGTACTCATTGGAGGGCAAAGTGATCAAGCCAGAAGCACAGAATTTCCAGAGCTGGGGGTATATTAAGAGTAGTGTTTCTCAAACTTTAATGGGTCCATGTAGCCTTCAGAAATCGTACTAAAATGCAGTTCTGGTTAAGTAAGTCTGGAAGGGGTTTGTCATTCCTCACCTAAACACTTCCTGGTGATATGAGCACCACTGTACAAGGCTACCCTTTGAATAGCAAGGTCTCAGACAACAATAAAGACACTACAACTAGATCTGGTTGGGGATGGAAACAGAAACAGGTCGAGTCAAGGGTCAAGTTGAGCAAGGACACGTGGCTGTTCAGAAACAGACACCTGAGCCTTGGCAAGAGTACAGGGCCTGTTGGTCCTGACAGCTGATGTCAGGGACACTGCGTGGCCCACAATCCTGGGTGCCCTTTAGCATACATGCTAAGAATTGTTCTCCAGTGGGCTCTACACTCATCCTTCCTGCCGCAGTTGTCATATTTGCTCAAGCTCTGTTCCAGTGGCCCCTGGGAAGAACTGGGAGTCTTCCCAGAGACTCAGACCTATCTATAGGGTTGCCTGAGCCAGATGACCTCAGTCACTGTCAAATGAACCCTCAGTGTACTTTTCCTATTTAATAGACAAGCAACCAAGTCAATAGGAAGAACACTGACTCACCTACCCAAGTTCAGGGTGACAACTGCCACTCTGTTGCTCCACCTCCTCAGCAACCCTCCCACTACTTCCTGATCAGGTCACTGCACTGCCACCTGCCCACACCTACAAGGGTGAGTCCCTAAATGCCACAATCTCAAAGTTCACGGGTCACCTGAGGACAGCCATATACACACCTTCCTTCTGCCCAAAACTTCCACTTAGCCACTATCCCATGAGCTCCATGTCATGCCAGAGGTTCTCACTTTGAGTTCACTAGTTGGCACAGTGAACTTTTACCTTCAGGACAAAAATGGATCGATTTTCGAAGCTGTTGCCAATATGAATTTTGGAGACGATATCTGAGTGCTCAGTTACAAAGTTGTCAATCCAGCTATATATCTGAAAGCAATGAAGTCTGTCAGACTGGCCACTTAGTGCAAAAAGCCATCTTGATATTCTCCTTTTCCATCCTAGCTTCACTGCTTTTTCCCCCTTTCTCCCCACTTTTATCCTGTTTTATTAGATTCTTTTCCTAATAAACTTTACTATTACTTTTACTAAAAAGAAAGAAATATAAGAAAGAAAATGGATCCTCTATTTACAGGTCTTTAAAATGAGAAGAGTAATGATAATAACAGGCTGGATGATATCAACAATGGTACATCATCCTTTATAGGCAAAATGAGATCAGTGCCTTGAATTTCTTTCTGGAGTGGACTTTCCTATGCCTTCCTTATATATTCTCCCTTATAAACAAGTCACCATTGGTCACACCTGCCCTGGCTTGCTATCACTGTGATTACGGGCTTTCTCTAACAAAGGCAACTCTGGTGGATTCTCCAAACATGGCTCTCCAATGTGCCTGGCTTCCCGCCCCTCATACCTCCAAGCACTCACAGATGGGCCACTGAGTGCCAGGACTAGTCTTGAAAAGAGGTCAATGGATTACTAGCCAGGAAATGGGAGCTTCTGCCTACTCTGCCTGGCCTGGAATGGGTCTCTGCCTTAGTGTGCAATCATAGACCCTTCACTCCCTTCCATGCCTGCCTAGGGCTGTACTGCTGACCTGCAATCCTCGCTACCTGCATCCTGGCTTCTGGACCTCTTTAAACTGCTTGTATGACTAACAGACCTTCATCTGATGTCTACTCTGCACTCCCCAAATTCACAGTCTCCCTAGACCCCAGCATCCCTCACTGGTCTCTCTGCCTGAGCCTATAGATTTCAAGGAGCTCAGAGACACAATAGACTCTGAACCTCCACAGACCGACCTACCTCCTCTAGGGTGTGGTAAGAAGAATAGCTGAAGCTATTGGTGCTGCGCTCCCGCCGGCGGGATTTCGCCATGGCTTCTCTCTCCTCATTCAGCAGAACCTAGGAGATAGGAACACACACTGGAGGGGAAGGAGCTGCGCTGGCTGGCCTCTTCTCAGTTGTGCGTAAAGACCCGCATCAACACGGGAATGAGCCACCATGAGCACATGCAGCAAAACAGATGTTTTCTGCCCATTTTCCAAATGAGCATGGAACAAGGCATCTGAAGACCTGGTACTAAGTCTGCCTCCGCCACCAGCTTGCTGTGGCCTGTTTCCTCGGCTCGAAAATTGGAACAGCAATATCTGTTGGGCTACCTCATATGATAAAATACAATAACGGGTATGAAGGCGTGCTGGAAAAGACGTTAACATCCACTGCCAGCATTGCTCTGGCCCTTATAAACTTGCTGTTGAGTCAGGACCCACGCAGAACCATGGGCACTGACCCTGGGGAAACCAAGAACTCTGCTGGTCCCCAAACCTTGACTCTCCTCCTGGAAGGAAGCCTAACAACTGGTGTCCATCTTGACTCGCCATGTTAACTGCCTCCTAAACACAGCTTAGGTGAGCCAAAAGCAATGTCCCTAGATAGCAGGTTGTGTTGGCACGTCCCTCTGACCATAGGGCAGGCAGGCAAGTGCCTAGGTTGAGTTGACTACTTAATGCTCATGTCATCCACACTGTCCTGGGATACGTCCCAGCTTGGGTCACCGTGAGATGGGTAGGGAACCTTATCTTGGTATCCGGAGGCTGAAGTGCCCCACACTGACTGTCCCACGTGGGAAGGTACAGGCCCCTCTGCCACAGAGGATGCTTATCGCAATCTTGTCAACCCAAAGGGGCCTCTCAGTTGCACCTCTGGGTTACAAGTCCGGATGACGCTGTATTTTGGACCAGTGCCTCTGGTTTGTCAAGTGTCTTTATTCTCGTGATCTCACTGGATATGGTCACATGACAGATGCCAGGGCAGGAATTAACTCTATGTGTTTTGGAGATAAAGCAGATTGAGGAGGTGACAGCACTTAATGGCAAGGCTAATAAGTGACAGAGGTGATATTAAGAACCAGATATTCTAGTTCCTAGACTTGGAATCCTTAAGCCTAGCAATCAAAACTAAAGGCCAACAAAAAAAGTATACATACATAGGTATGAATAACTGTGTGTGTCTGTGAAGTCTGAGAACTCCATCATGAACCCCTCCCCCATAACGGACTGTGAGCTTGCTAGGCAAGCTCTCTTCCACTTGAGCCACAAACCTCAGTCCTTTTGCTTTCAGTTTATTTTTCAGATAGGGTAGTGACTAACTTTTGCCCAGGCTGATCTGGGACTGAGATCTGCCTCCCTCCACCTCCAAAGTAGCTGGAATTACAGATATGCACCACCACACACAGCACCATCATAGTATTCTTGCAATTAAAAAGTTTTTTAAAACAATGAAATATTAAGTATTCTCAAGCATAGGAAAGCAAGACAGTAAAATGTTAAAAAAAAAATCTACACCAAAATGCTAATGACACCTATTAGTATAGGAAGATTAAGACAAGGAATTTTTTCTTTTCTATTTTTACGTTTTAGAAAAATGCTTACTTCATTAAGGATTTTTTTTTCTTTTGTGGTACTAGGTCTTGAACTCAGGGCCTACACCTTGAGCCATTCCACCAGCCCAATTTTTTTGTGATAAGGTTTTTCGAGATAGGGTCAAGGAAACTATTTGCCCAGGCTGGCTTTGAACTGTGATCCCCTCGATCTCTGCATCCGCAATAGCTAGGATTACAGAAGTGAGCCACTGGTGCCTGGTGAGTAAGGATTTTTAAATGAATGATACCAAAATCAAAAGCCCTAATGGCTAATGAAGTAGCACCTGTGAGATCTGGGCCTGAATTCTGGAGCTGAAAGAGAAGACCCCTTTCCCCTGCTATAGATGAGACCCCTGCCCGGGACTCACTCATCCCTGAGGACCCAGTCCACTTGCTCATGACTCTCAAGCTCATAGATTTCAAAATGAGACTGGCAGTCATTGCCTGGGGCTCATTCTTTTATGTCTGAGCACCGTCTACATGCTACCCTGTTTTTTGGTTTTGTTTTTTTTTTTTGTGGGACTTGGGTTTGAACTCAGGGCTTCATGCTTGCAAAGCAGGCACTCAACAACTTAAGTCACACCTCCAGTCCATTTTGCTCTGGTTATTTTGGAGATGGGGCATTGTGAACTATTTGTCCAGGCTGACCATGAACTACAATCCTCTGGATCTCAGTCTCCCAAGTAGCTAGGATTATAGGTGGGAGCCACTGACCCCCTGCAAGGCAATCTTTTTTTTTTCCCAGTATTGGGACTTGAACTCAGGGTCTACACCATTTTTTGTGAAGGATTTTTCGAGATAGGGTCTTGTGAACTATTTGCCAGAGCTGGCTTTGAACTGAGATCCTCCTGATCTCTGCCTTCTGAGTAGCTAGGATTACAGGCATGAGCCACCAGCACCCGGCTTGAAAGGCAATCTTAACGGCAATGTTTTCTTAGCTGGGCTGGCCAGGCTGGAGCAGGGGTTCCCACTTGGCAACGCTTGGATTACTGCTTATGCTAGACATAGCTGGAGGAGATCTGATTCTCACTGGTCACTCACAAGCACCACCCTGGGAAGAAGTTCTAGCAAAAGGAATGTGTCTTCTTCCCAGGAAATCCATCCAAATCACAGTGGCCCACCGTGACTGATGTGTGCCTACCACCATGGGCTGGTACAACCAGCTGTGGCGAGCAGCTGCCAGGAGAGCAGCTGGACTGGGGGATCTGAATGTCTGATCTCTTAGGGTCTGGTGAGGGACTGAGGGGGGCCAAGGGAGTGAGGGTGGAGTGGAAACAGCAAGGAGAAATTGGGAAGAAAGGACAGGGTTCTTCCTGCACAGCCAGGGACACTCGCAGGAAGACAGCTCCCAGGAGACCTCCCTTTGTTCCACAAAACAGCTTGGAAGCAAATGAAAAATCGGTACCAAACTGCAAACAACTTTCCAAACAGCTCCCAGCCTTTGAATGGATATGACACCCTCTTATGAGTTGGAAATGTTCATCGCTCACAGCTGGGCCCCAGTTCCAGGAACATTCATTTACCCTGGCTTGAAAACAGCACAGATGTTTGCTACCTTCCCAGGGCCAGGGGAAGAGGATAAGAGAACTAAGAATGAAGCCCGGCCACAGGCTCAGGATGCCTAGTTACAGGAAAAAGGAAAACAACAAAAACCACAGGGACACTAGCACCTTGGTGCAAATTCATTTATGGCAGGGCTAAGGAAGGGTGGAAGTATTAAGCAAAGAACAGCACCCTTAGGTAGGGAAGGGAAGGAGACCAGGGTCCAAAGGTGGAGCTGAGATGTGAAGCCCCCTCTCCCACCTCTCTGCAGCCAAGTGCCAACCCCAGATGAACATGGACACAGCTCCTGGGACACTGTGATGGCAGCAGGTACCCCTCCTGGCGTCTACCCAGCTTTCTCTGCTAGGCCTAACACTTGCTACCTAGGTGCCATGCATGGGGAAGGGGCTACAGAGCCAATGTTGTTAGAATGGACCCTTCAAAGGTCAAGGCTGAACCACCAGCTTCACTGCCCAAGGCAAAATTAAAACACCACACAAGCAACTGTCTTGACAGCTGAGGAGGCAGGTGGCACCGGAGCAGAGCCAGATGGCCTCAGATTAAACCCGAACAGTGTCGTTAACTTGGCCTCAGTTTCCCCTCTCGAAATGAGGATCATGTTATCACATGCTTTAGTACATACTTTCCGGTGCTCTCATGAAGACCGGGAGTATTCGTATGTGTTTCCTGGCATATAGTAAACGCGAGCAAACGCTAGCCATGGCAATGACAACGACGATGACAAGGACAACAACTACTCTTGGGGTGACTGTAAGGCTCAGTGATGGATCATTATAAGGCAAGACTAGAAAGTCTGGATTCCCCCATGATGACTGTTGGAGGTGGAAGGAACACGTCACCATTAAGTGAGCACCTGACCCTCAGGTGGCCCACCAGAGGGACCTGGTCCTCTTCTGCTCCTGCCACTCTCGGTACAGAAGACTGTGCTTCTCCCTCTGGGCCTTGCCCAGGACTGCTCCCTTCCTCCCTGCCTTCTCCTGCAATCCTCCTTTCTTCTTTACAGCTGCTGCCCACAACCACACTGTCAGAGGCATTTCTGCTTTAAAAACTCTTCCGTTCAGGGAGCAAGCAATTGTTGAGTACACACCATGCGCTGGGCTCTGAGGACCCGGCAGCCAATAAAGCAGCACCGTTTCCTTCTGGAGCTTCCAGGGAAGTCAGAGGATTGACAAAGCAAGAAGTAAGTTATAAAAGACGAGAAAATGGTAAACACTTAGGAGACTACAGGAGCAGGGAGAGAAGAGATGGAGTTGGGGAAGTGGGAGAGAAGTGTACACTTTAAAATAAGTAAAGCCCAGTGTGGTAGTATATGTCTGTAATCCCTGCACTTGAGAAGACTGGAGAAAGAAGATCATAAGTTTAAGGCTGGCCTTGCATAGCAAGATGCTGTCTCAAAAACTCCTAAATAAATAAATAACTTGTCAATAAAATGAGGTGAAAAGGTGACATGTGAGCAATGATCCGTGCAGGTATCTGCAGGAACAGCATTCTAAGGATAGGGACCAGCAAGTGCAAAGTCCCTGAGATGTGATTCTAGCCGAGGGTAGGAAGGAGTGAGGCAAGTTCAACGTGTGTAGAGCGCAATGAGCAAAGGACAGAATGCTCAGTGGTGAGTGGCGTGGGGCAGGGAGTAGACCACATGGAGCCTCATAACCCTTTCAAAGACTTTGGCTTTTATTTGGAGTGAGTTGGGAAGGAGCCGTGGAGGGTTTCAGGCAGGGGAGGGACACAATTGGACTTGCATTATTTTTGAAGCCCTCTCTCGCTGCTGTCCTGAGAGTGGGTGATGGAGGCCAGGGTGAAACTGGAAGAGCAGTTAGAAAACAACTGGAATAATCCAGCTGCTCAGGGGAGGGTGTGCTGGCCAGGGAGGTAGCTTGGGAGATGCTGAGATGTGCTCTGCAGGAGAGTGCATAGGGTTTGCTGGTGGGTCAGACGTGAGGTGTGAGAAGAGAGTCAAGGATGACTCCAAGTGTCTTCCCCGAGTGACTGGAAGGCTGCCCTGCCATTTCCTGAGCTGGGGAAGGCTGCCCTGGAGCGGGGCTGGAACACTTGGTTTGGACCTGCCAACTTTGAGATGCCCATCAGACACCCGGTGGAAATGGTGAGAAGACAGCTAACGTTCAGGGAAAGGCACTGACTGGAGTCATGAGAAGGAGATGGGATTTAGAACCTCCATCCTGGATGAGGGTGTGGAGAGGTTCAATGTCAGAGCTGGAAACAGGAAAGCCACAGCAATGGAGAACCAGGGAAGCAGGATGGCCAGGGAAAGTGCAGTGTCCTGGAAGCCCAGAGAAGAGACAAGGCAGGAACAGGACCAGCTGAGCCTAAGAAAGATGGACACTGAAAGTTGACCACTGAGCTTGCCATAGTGGCTCTGGTGAAGGAGGTGGATAAGCACAGCAAGAATTAAAAAGCCAGTGTTTCTGGGAGTTTTGTTCTACAAAGAAGCAGAGAAATGGGGTGATGGCTGGAGGGAGGGAAGGGATGGGATCAAGAGGATTTTTAAGGTGGGATAAATAACTTTCTATTTGTATGCTGATGGAAACGATCTAGCGGAGACAGGCAAATCATCCAAGCAATATTTGCGCTAAATTATATTCCGCTCTAGATGGTCGGAGCATGGGTGATTTTTGTTTTCTTCTTGTGCTTTTCCCCTATTTTCCAAATTATCTAGCATGAATATTTATTAATTTTGTAATCAGAAAAAAGCCATTAAAATCCACAGTGCTGATTGCTCAAGTGAAGCTTTTCTATGGTGACTCATCCTAGGGAGAAAAAAAAAAAAAAAAACACCAAAGGGCTGAAAAGAACGAGGAGGTGAAGAAAAATTAAATGCAAATAGAGCTTGCTCAGAATCAGATAATTTCTTGCCTGGTCCACAGCAATTTCCTCACCACCCTCCTGCCTGTCAGTCTTTCCCTGGCCCTGGCCCCAGCTCAGCACTGTCACTGTCAGAGTGGGGTTTTTTTTTGTTGGTGGTGGTGGTTTTTTTTCTGAAATGCAAATCCGATCATGTCTAAACCCCTCAGAAGGCTCCCCAGTGGTTTGGGAGTAAAATCCTGATGTCTTCACAGGGCAGAGGATGCCCTATGCAATGGGGTCCAGCCTCATCACCAATCAGGGCAGCAGCCCCTTTCTCCTCCCTTCCCCTCCCCTTCCCCACTCTTCAGTCTCACCGTAATTACCGCCTTCTCAGCACCAAATGCTCCCATAGCAACCTGCTCTCAAGCTATCAGTGCACTCATCCACTCCATTGTAATCACCCATTTACTCCCCTCCCTCCCCCATCCCCCACACCCTCCAACTCCCCTGGATTTTTTATCTTTGTGTTTTCAGTGCCTGGCCCAATGCTCAGCACACAGTAGGCATCTCTATGTCTGTGGGTGAAGTGAATGGACCCATTTCACATTTCTTAAGAGCCCTGGTCAGGGTGGTGGCAGTGGCGGGGTGGGGGTGGTGGCGGGGTGGGGGTGGGGAAACACTTCCTCAAAGTCTCTGATCAAAATGAACACAGGCAGCAAGGTTTTCCAGGCTCCCCCTCAGCCTGATCCTAGCCACCTAGCACCTTCTTTTTTCTTTCTTCTCACATCCATTCATTCAACTAACACTTAGTAAGCCCCAACTAAGTGAAGGAGTGTAATGATGGATAAGGCAAATGCAACTGAACGCTGAGGGGGGGGCGCAAACAAAGACCAACATATTAATAAGGACCCTCTGCAAGTGCCTGCTGTGAACCCACAGGGAGAGTATTTCATTCAGCACAGGATTATTGAGGGCTCACTCTGCAGGGGACACTATGGCAAGAGCTGGGACCGAGCTCATCCGGAGGGAGGACAGGGAGAAAGATCAAGCCTGGTCACCAACAACCTGAGTGGTGCAAAGCCCTTCCCATCCTGTTGGCGCCTCTGAGCTGGATTCCGCCCCCATTGTCGCCACAAATCAGCCACAAAACAACGTCCTCTCTCCACCCGAGGCGCCCTAGCAGCCACAGAATGACCTCAAGGATGGCAGGAAAGCTTGATGCTTTGCAGACAGCTGTCTGGATGGGTCAGGGCAGAGAGTTCAGAGCCTTTTCCTGGGAGGGAGTGCAAAATCCCAGAGGGATTCAGCACTGGAGGTATCCAGAGAGGACAGGCAGAGGACAACTCCACAGGGACCATTGGGGGAGATTCAGAGGTGACCCAGGACTGTCCCTGATGTGCTGAAAATCAACAGTTTTTCAAGACCTCTGCATATGTATTTTTCAAATGCTGCAGGCTTCCTGGGGCACAGCAGAAGCAGGGAAATGTGAGCTTCAAAATAGAAGTATAGGCTAAAAATGAGAATTAAGTTCTCATTTCTTTTGATGTGGTAGTCTCTTTTGTCCGTGGGAGTTTCCCCATTTTTGTTTGTGGGGGATTTAATTAGAGAAACATCCCACCCCCACATGTTGGGCGGGAAACAGATGTGCCTGATGAGGGATAAAGGACTTTGAATGGACCCAAGTGCCCCAGCCCTGTGCTCACACGGGAAAGGAATGTTGCCTAATTCTTTTATCCCTTGGCACGCGGTGTCAAGTGTGTGCGCTCTGGGAGGTTCCGTGTTCCCACACTCGGAGCCCTTAGAGAAGATTAGCACTAAGCAACATGGCTGGGAATGAGCCTCTGTGGACACAGTTCCACGGGTAGGACGCCAGCAGCAGCATCCACAGAAGGATGCAGCTGAGGAGGCTTAACATTGAGTGGTACCCAGCCGATTTGCTTCCGAAGGAGGCTGTGATACTAGCACTTTTCAGAGGGTCTTTGGGATATCCTTGAAGACAGAACAGATGAGCTAGAATTTCATGGTATTCAGAAATCGCTGGCAGATGCAGTATCAAGTGGAGGCAGAGAGGTTGGGGTGTCCAGGATGGGGCTCCCTTCAACCTGTCCTAGGTCTGGTCTGCAACCATTCTCCCAGAGCTAGGGGAGATGCCACACAGAGAGTCCCGCACAGAGGGAGACACGGTGGGAGGCAAAGCAAGGCAAGGCTCGCACTGGGGACTTCTTTTCCCCATGGAGCCCATGGTATTGCTTGGCTCAGATCCAATGGGAACAGGAGAGAACAGTGAGAAAGCAAAGGAAGCTATCAGAGGTGCCTAGAAAAGACCCAAGCTGTTTCTTCCTGTCCTCCCCATCTCCTGTTCAGCTATCAGTTGCACGTTCCTCCCTGGGAGGCCTTCCTCATCCACACCATCCTTCCTGTGGCCCCACTGACTACCCCGGGCTCTGTGAACTCTGTCCTAAGTTTACATTTTCCCTGAGAAATGTGCAACTGATGTCCTTCCATGACATTTTCACACACATGCAGAGGAGATCCAAAAGCAAAATGTCTGTGTTTATCCTGAGCGTTTTTCCTCCATGATGGCCCCAATCAGAAAGGAATGGACAAGGTGAGACCCTCATCCCAGGGTGCCAGGGTGGGACCTCACCTGGATGTCCTTTATCATGATGCTGTAGGCGAGGCCATGAGCCTCCAGATAAGCTTTGACATCATTCAGTTCAGAGAAGGGGACTCTCATGTCCACAGGGAGGCTGGGTCTGGCTGGGCCACGCCAGAAGTCCACCTTGTAAACAAAGGAGAGAAAGCCAGGCATGTTTATTACCATCCTTACCCTATCCTGTAGGCACCCTGGAGAGCCAGATGGTTTGCTCTTATATTTAAAAGGGCTCCACTTCCATAATAAAAACCCTAAAGTGACCAGAAAGAGAGGGACACATAAACAAACAAAATTCCCAAGTAACTGTCTTTCCATATTTTCAGTCAGCTTTGTGTCCCAACCTCATTCACTCACTGCAGTTTCACCTGGCTCCAGAGAGCCCTAAAAGGTTTCTAAAGGTGAGACTGTTCATTGCCTGGAACATTGACACAGACAAGAACCCACGAGTAAAGAAGGAGGCACGCACCATTACTCCCAGGCAATGGGAGAAGCAGGAGGGGCCTAATTGGAGCCCGTGTCCTATGTCTGTTTTTCAATTTGTAAAATGTAGACACTTGGAAATTGTTGGAAGTCCTCGTTATAGGAACACTCATACAAATGGGACTGATAGCTTTGGGCCACATCCAGAAACAGCTGGTTGTTTCACCAGCCCTCAAACAAAACCCTTCTATTATAATTGTCAAAGAAAATGTTTTCCATTGTTAAATCTTGTCCATGACAAATGTTCTTGGAAACAAATACCGGGCTGAAAGGGACAAACCCAAATAAAACAGGTTTGCCAGGCTAAGCCATTTTAATAGGGAGGTAGATGTATCCAGTCCTCATGCTCCGTGGTGTCCCACTAGGACATCTGTGCTTCCCGTGTGGTATTAGGACATTCCAGCTGCTTTTAGGGTATGCTTAGTAGCCCCCCAATCCATGACAGAGGGGGAAAGCTAAAGAAGCCACAGCTTTAAAAGGGCTGCCCAACCTTGTGGGCAAGTGTTAGGGCAGAGCGACCACATTTGACTTTTCCACAGAGACCTCAGGAGGGCAGGCTTGGGGTGTGGGGAGCAGGACAGGTTGCTGAGGTGCAAGCTACTGTGAGGGACGTGTCCCTAAGGCTTGACAGTCCTCACCTTCTGAGGCTTCAGGCCCTCCAGATCCCTGAGAAGTGACAGCTGCTTCTCATCTTTGGCCAGGACTCGAAGAACCTGGTCTCTGGAAAAACATGGAGAGGGCAGAGGAAGCTGCAGAGAGATCCTCCTGGAAGTCTGTGGCACTTGGAAGAGGCAAAATAGAGAGGAGGCCTGACTGAGGGGACCGGCAGGATGGACTCAGCTCTGGGAGCCACACAGTCCTTCAGCCTAGAGTGGGCATCTCTCCAGACCCAATGCCTGGACTAAGTAAAGCCTGTCAGAGTTACTGATAAGCCTGAAGCCAAGACAGGGAAAGAAGGATGAAAAAGGACTGTAGAGGCCAGGGAGGGGGTGTGTGTGTGTACATAGATTACAAGAGGCTGGGGGGAACCAATGGTGACCCCAAGTGTTCTTAATACAGGACCTCCAGCCATGGTTTGCCCAAAGCCCATGAAAGGGAAAATCAGATAACCCCATCCCCTTATAAGAAGGCCAGCTTCTTCTCTTCTGGCTGAGTGGGAAGGAGTGATAAGCCAGTGGCCTGCAGTATAAACTATGGGGTCTGACGCCTGGGATTATGCTGGCTCCCTCCCTGACTGGCTCCAAGTCTGGGGCAATAAACCCCCTCCTCTAAGCTGTGTCTTCTCTTTGTGGAGTTTCTGTGCAGGATCTGTGTTCTGGGATCTTTGAGAGGCCCCTAAGTCGTGTCCACAAAGGGCCTGCTGTGTATACAAGAACTTACTGTTATTCAAAGGAAGTCAACACCACATCCACTTTGGGTAGGAGAACATGGTCTTGTGGGTTGTCACTAACTTCTTCAAGAAACAGAAAAGTTATGAACCCTTCACCCCCTAAGAAATACACACATGTGACATGAAATTTCAGGGAACTCTTGGAGCCCTGAAAACTTATCCCTGGACCCAAATTAAGAACTCTGGATTTGGGATGGAACAATAACAACTGGGTGTTCTGTGAAACTGAGGAGGCTGAAGTGGATTCTGGATGGGAACTGAAGTCTTACCTTGTTGTCCTCAGTCTGGTTCCAGCAAGACAGACAACAGGCACACACACACACACACACACACACACACACACTCATCAGGACACCTGGGTCCCCTCGTTCCCAACCAATCCTCCTTCCCACTGAGCAACAGTGACTTACCCTGTGAAATTCATTTGACCCCAAGCTGTCATGAGGATAAAGCTGCAGATCAGGAGCATCCGACTATCCACAGGGGACAGCCCAGGGCCCAACCCCCCTCCAGGGGTGCTCTGCATGATTCCTCCTCCAGGCAAGCTTCAAGGGCTTTCCTCATGCCCAGGCATAGCCCAGGCTCAGAACAGTACAGCACCTAAAGGCCGGCAGGCCCGGCCTAAGAATGGGGGTTGGGATTTGTCTGGGGAACCCAGCATGTGGTTCCCCCACAACAGACCTTGGGGGAGCCTGATCAACTCCCTCTCCCCCACCGCCACCACCATCTCCCAGGCAAATCCTCTCTGGGAAGTGGAGAAGAAAGAGAGAAAGAGGAAGACATGGCTCTTAGCTTTTCTTCCTTCTGCAAGATGGGGAGGAGGTTCACTAGCCCACCTTCCTCCTGGACATCAAACCCTCCACCTCCAGAAACAGGAGTAGCTAGTGACTCTGGGATGTCACTCCTTTCCTCCTCTACAAAATTGTTCTCCGCACTTCTTCTCCCTCCCCATCCACTCACACTGTCCCTGGGCCATATCTTCCCTACACAGAAGGCTGTGGGCATCATTGAAGGGCTGCTGGGCTCAGAGACTGAGAACGGGGTGCTGTCTAAAGGATCCAGGCCTCTGACCTAATCTAATCTCAGGAAACTAACTGTCAGTCAAGTGGGCTTGATAACAGCTCCCCTCCCTACCTCACGGGGGCTGTGAAGTTATTAGACGAGACAACTGAGGGAACTGGCTTGGCGAAGCCTGCAAGTTATAATGTATTATTACCACAGAGGCATTAACCCTTAGTCTCCGCTGTGTTTTAGGTCGGTACTCCAGTTGCGACAGGGAGAAGGGACAGAGAAGGGAGAGGCGGGGGCGGGGGGGGAAGGAAATATATATTGTATTAGAGAGAATTCAGCCAAGATCTCGTCTCTATCTTCAGGTCGTCACCACTGTGCTGGGACAGGCAGAGGCCACAGCAATCATTATCCCAGTTCTCAACATACAGCAGAGTCCATTTCTCCGTCCTGCTGAAGCCACACAAAGTCCCCTCTTTATGATCTGGGAATAGGAGGGATAAAGCAGAGGGCAGCTCACAAAGCAGCCATCTTGGAAAGATGAGGCCCAATGATGAATAAGGAATCTAACAGAAAATCCACAAGAGGTGAGGAAAGACAGAGATGAAATCCAACAAAGTTGTTCCACAGAGGATGTCAACAAAAGGCCACTTAATTATCACCAGTGATTTTCAGAAGCCCTCTCCCCATTAATACTTTCCCAGAATGGTCAATTAACTGGCCATGTACAGAGATGGGGTCTGTTCTATTGCTAGCAGGCCCTGCTCCCTGCCAAGCCTGCCCTACTCCATTATTTGATGGGTCAGCTGATTAGAGATATCAGACTCTTCCTAGAACCCCGGTGATAGGAACTCTCAGTGATGTCAGCAAAGGGTCTGAGGAGCTAGAAAGGAAAGCAATGATGCAAGTAACGTGCAGCTTTAGTGCCAATGGAGATAAAAGAATGTGCTGGAAACAATCACTCAGAAAGAAAAAAGTGAGAATGGTACTAGTCACAGAAAGCACCCAGCATCTTCTTATCCAAAAGCATCACGTTAAGTCACTAACAATGGGACAACTATCCCTGTACTTGGTTTAGGGATGGGAGAGATAGAGAATGAGAGCAAGAGCAGAGCAAAAAAGAGAGAGAGAAACAGAGAGAGAGGAGCCCCCAGGAATTCTTGAGAATTCCATGGAACATTTTGTGATAATGGAAATGTTCTATATCCATGCTGACCAATAGGATCGGCACTGGCCACTTGACGTGTGGCCAGTATGACTGAGGAGTTGAACATTTAATTTTAATTAAATGAAATTTAAGTAGCCACACATGGAGAATGGCTACCATGATGGGCAGCAGAGTTCAATGGGAATTCACCAACTCTAAAAGCACCACCTCGACGGCCAAATTTGAAACACAGACCCACAGCTGTGCTTGACCTAATACCTCATCTTGACTTCTCGCTTACAGTGAGTCACTCATTAATCATTTACTCAGTGAGTGTCCACTGATCACCTCTATGTGCCAGGCACTTGCTGAAGTCTGGAAGCAAAATAGAGGCTAAAAAACACAGCAAGATGCAGGCCCTCGAATTTCTACTGGGGTAAGTAGACATCTAGCTTAAAAAGTGAATGAAGGTGAATGTAAAAGTAGCTGGTGTCTGTGCTACCAGAGGAAGGTACATTGCACCCTGGGGACAACCAACACGACTCCATGTAGGCTGAAATTGTCCCTGAAGAAATTTTATCAGAGGACTTTTCTTTCCTGCAGGTAAGATAACTAAACTATCTTGCCCAATGGAAACAACTCAAACTCAGGATAAAATATCTTAATAAAACATTTTGAGTACATCACTGGGTTGGCACAAAAGTATTCTCAGATGCCAAACAATTGTAGAAGGCAGACAGACACAGGAGAGGTCAGCACCCTCCCCCCAGCATTCCTCAGGACCCTGGCACTTCCTCCTAGAAGATGTCCCTGTGTCTAGGATCATTTCCTTCTGATTGTCTCTCTCGCTCTCTCTCTCAAAACTTCCCTTGAGCAAAAGTCTCTTTTTATTCATTCAAAAATTCATTATTTTGTTTTCCTTCTTGAAAGGGTTTCAATGGGTATAAATTCTAGGTTGGTGATTGCTTTTCTCTCAACACATTGAAAATATTATCCCACAGTCCTCTGGCTTCCATTAAATCAGTTAGCCTACCTCATGTAGCTAGGAGCGGGACTTTCTCCGGGCCATTGCTTTGAAGATCTCCTGCCTTTGATGTTCTGCAGTTTTGTTATCAGATCTTTAGATAAACCATAATACACTAATCTAGGTACAGATTTCTTTTGTTCCCTCCAACTTGGGGACCATTTAGTTTCCTGTATTTGGGTATTGCTCTCTTTCTACTGTTTTCAAATTTTCTTGGTCATTATATTTTTAAAAATTGCTTCCTCTCCATTCTCCACTCCCTTCATCTGGGACTTTCAATTAGAGATATTAGGCTTTTCTTGTGCTGTCCTCCAAGACTGGGAAGCATCCCTTTGTACTTTTGTTTCATTGTCTTTCTGGGCTACATTCTAGAAAATTTGTACCAGGCATTTGCTTCTTTATTCCAGTTAACTGACTTTTCTCATCAGCCAAATTTAATCTGTAACTTAATCGATCTGCTAAATTTTAAATTCCAATTGCTTATAGTGCGTTGATTCTGAAACAATTTTTTCCTGCATTTTAACACCTCTGAAATCAAGATGCATCACAAAATTGGTGGCAGATTGTAATGATAAGTGACAGTGTTTGATGACATATAAAAGTGTGATGAACCTTATAATCAATCCTGGTTTACAGTCAACACAATATGGTTTTTTGTTTGTTTTTGCTTTTGGAAGTTCTAGCTGATATTTTTTTCAAGCACAAATTGCCCAAATTTTTTATCTACTTTACAACTTTATTGTTTCTTTAAGCTTAGAAAACATGATTTTATAGACTATGTTGGATAATTACAATAGTTGAAGACTTTGTCTTTCCTGCTGTTCTCACTTCGTAGTGCATTGTTTTTGTGTGGCACTTATCTGCGAGTCAATCATTTTCTTTGAACATTTATCTTTAGAAATCCATTGAGGCCTAGGTTGAAGTTGACTTTTTTTTTTTTTTTTTTTGGCAGCACTAAGGCTTAAACCCACCATCATCCTGATCTCTGCCTCCAGAGTAGCTAGGAATACAGGTGTGAGGCACCAGCACCTGCCTGAAGTTTAATTTCTTCAGAGATTTGCCTTTATTCCTCTGACTTACGTAGGAGGTACTATCAACCTGAGACCACTCCAAATAAAATTATTTACTATTTTATGGACTGCATAATTAGCATAAATTTAGACCTCAAACTCATGGGGGTCTTACGAATTCTCAAGGAATATGTTCTCCAGGATCATTTAACACCAAGATTTTAATTTTTGGACAGTGATAACATATTTTTTGCCAGTAAGCGATCAGCTAAAGTGTTTCAAGGTCCTGGAATTTTTGGAAGGAAGGATAAATATTTGTAATATTTTAGATTTTGCTAAGTATGCATGTTCAAAGAGCCAGAATAACAAGTAAAAGAATAGGTTCAGAGCTCAGAGCACATCATTTCCAAATAGGTAGAAAGGACAAAAATAATATGAGGAGAAATTAAAAAAAAAAAAAGCCAAAAGAATGTGACAAAGACTTTAAAAAAAACTTTCAAACTCCAGAATCACCAATAAACAAATAAATAAATACTTTAAATTAAAAAGGAATTCCTTTTCAATGTTGGGGATTGAAGCCAGGGCCACACGCACACATGTGCTCTACCACTGGGCCACGCCTCAGGTAAAAAACGGAAATTTAAAAAATGGAATGAATCAAAAGGATATAAAAAAGAAGAAATTTACCTAAATATGTTTGTAGTATGCCAGGTGTGGCAACTCACTTGTGTAATCTCAGCTACTCAGGAGATGAAGGCGGGTAGATTGCGAGTTCAAGGCCAGCCCAGGCAAAGTTAGCAAAATCTTACCTCAAAATCAAAGTAACAGCAAAAGGGCTGGTGGTGTAGCTCAAATGGTAGAGTGCTTCCCAGCAAGCATGAGGTTCTGGGTTCAATCTTCAGCATCATAAAACAAATATATTTAATGTAAATGGATTTAACTCTCCAGTAAAAGACAAAAATTATCAGGATAGATTTATTTTTTGTTCAACCTAGTTATATGTATTCAGAAGACACTCTTAAAACGTAAGAACAATGGTTAATCAAAAATCAAGGATAGAAAAAAAGTATTTCAGGTAGATACCAATAAAAGAAAATAGCTGTAGCTTTGTTAACGTAAGATAAAATAACTTTCAGGGCAGATGACTTTAGTGGAAATAAGAGGGTCACTACCTAAAGACAATTCTACAATTTCACCACAATATTCAGTGTACAAAAATAGCCAGGAATAACTCTAACAAACAATATGCAGTCCTTCCTGGAGACAATTATAAAATGTTATTGAAAAATGCTAGCTCTAAACAAATCTAAAGCTATAATTTTTGGGTTTTTTTGTTTGTTTGCTTGGTTGGTTTTGGTTTTTTGGGTTTTTGAAATAGGATTTTGCTACATAGCCCAGAGGGCCTCAAACTCACTATCCTCCATCCTCAGCCTCTGGAGTGCTGGAATTATGAGTTTGTGCCACCTCTCCTGTCTCTATATTGTTGAATAAGAAAACTTGGGCTGGTGGAGTGGCT